TTAGCCCCACCACCAACACCACCATTCGAGTTAAAGGCCTTGCCCTGCAATGTTTTGAATGAAAATAAGAAGAAGAAGAAGAAGAAGAAGAAGAAGAAAAAAGGAGAAGAAGATAAAGAAGGAGATGGAGAAGAAAGAGATGAGGAAGAAGGAGATGATGAAGAAGAAGATGAGGAAGAATGAGATGGAGAAGAAGGAGATGAAGAAGGAGATGGAGAAGAAGGAGATGAAGAAGAAGATGAAGAAGAAGAATATGAAGAAGAAGGAGATGAAGAAGAAGGAGATGGAGAAGAAGAAGGAGATGGAGAAGAAGGAGATGAAGAAGAAGGAGAAGAAGAAGAAGAAGAAGAAGAAGATGAAGAAGAAGAAGGAGAAGAAGAAGAAGGAGATGAAGAAGAAGGAGAAGAAGAAGAAGAAGGAGATGAAGAAGAAGAAGGAGAAGAAGAAGAAGAAGAAGAAGGAGACGAAGAAGAAGGAGACGAAGAAGGAGACGAAGAAGAAGGAGACGAAGAAAGAGACGAAGAAGAAGGAGGAGAATAAGAAGGAGGAGAAGAAGAAGGAGGAGAATAAGAAGAAGGAGGAGAAGAAGAAGAAGAAGAAGAAGAAGAAGAAGAAGAAGAAGAAGAAGAAGAAGAAAGAAAAGAAGAAGGAGGAGGAGGAAAAGAATACACACCTGCATTCTTTTCTTTTTTAACTACGTCAATACTACATTTTAGTACTGGTTCTATAATCAGCCATTCACTAGCCTCCCTAGCGGTGCTGCTGAGACATTTGTACTTCAAGAGTTGCCAGTATCGCAGCGGAGTGCGCGGACGGACGCGCGAGGCAGAGCATTGGCGCGCGGGGGAGTGGCTCCTGCCAGCGCCTGGAGAAGCGTTCAGAGGCGGGGCGCAAAGGAAGGCAACGAGACGTGCGTTCGGGATGCGCGGCACGCGCTTTGCCCCACGTCGAAGGGGGGACCCGAGGAAGAATGTTGGAAGGGAGGCGGGGGAGGAACGTCGAGTTCACCGTCGTTCCCGCATTCCGGATGGTTGCCCTTTAAAGGAAATAAATTACCTGAAACGATAATCTAACCCTTCAAACAGGACATTTTGAGTGCTCTCTGAATATCAGCAGCTACGTAGCTCACCTACTTGATTATAATCAGACGCCTGTTATTCACACGAATTTTACGTATTATGTCGCGTCCAATCTTCCATTGAACGTGGAGGTGGCGTTCAATCTTCCATGGGGTGGCGCAAAGTGGAGGGGCGGGAGGGGGTAACGCAGGGTCGGAGACTGGGAGAGGGAGGGTTAAAGCCAGGCGTATCGA